ATCTTGTTGTGTGTGTGTGTGTGTGTGTGTGTGTGTGTGTGTGTGTGAGAGAGAGAGAGAGAGAGAGATACAAGCAATCAGGTGTTTCCTGTATGCCTATTTTTAAGGCACTCTTCAAAGGTTTGTATAAGGAATTTTTATTATGCTTCCACTTAGCTCAGCCATTTGCTTCCTGTATGAAAGATATTTGTATATCTGTAAACTAATTTTCTAATTTTATAGTATTTTCTGTATTGAGACTCATTATAAGCTAAATAAGTCTAAAGATGAACTTATAATTGATGATAATGTGTAAAAATATAAGCTATGCATTTCTGAGACATGTCACCATGCTTGATAGTTTTTGTAAGATGACAAACTAGTCATGTGATGCTGCACTTGTGGGCTAGCACTGTCCTTGAAAATGCCTCGTGGTTCTAATTCCTTGCCAGCACAGCTTTTCAGCGGTACAAAGAGGCCTCACACTCTGGATAACTACCTGTTAAATATACTTAGAACAGACTACAAGAAGCCTTTAGGTCAAATTTTCACAGTGGCTTCCATTTGTGGTAATACAGCCGTTGTGTATATAAATCACTCGTGCATGCAGTTTTTGAGGGTTATTAGCTCATGGCTCCTAAGGTATATCTACACTGCCTGCTTTTTTTTTTGGCAAAGTGTAGAGTACGTACACAAATAGCCCCCTCGCATTGGTATAAACAGCAGTGTCGATGGTGAACAATGGCTTAGGTGAGTAGAGTACAGACATGCCTCAAGGGTGTGGGTTTGTACACACCCTACACAGCTCTCTACTTGCCCAAACCATGCCTCCCTCTCAACACTGCTGTTTTTAGCCGTGTAATGTCCTACCGGAGGAAAAGCTCCAGCAGGAGAGAGGCATCAGGGAAAGTTCCATCAGCTCCTTGCTGCTGGAGACTTTCCCCACTGTCTCCCCCGCCAGAGCCTTTCACTGATATGTATAGCTACACACTACAGTGTGGACACAGCTTGCTTTTCACTGCAACGTGTAGCTACACATACCCCTTACCTGCAGCCGACACTAGTGTGTAATATAGAGCTACCTCTAGATTCCACAGTGATGGACACATTACAAAAGTGCATAGATGTGACTTTGCAAATACAAGTGGAATTTAGATGTGCAGAATATGGCCTTCATTTGTGTGTGTGCAGTAACTTGTGTGCAAAATTTTTTAGGCTTGTTTTTTGTGCACACAAATGATAGACTGCACATGCACAAAAATGAGTGCTTGCACAAATTGAACATGAGTAAAATACAGAAATGTTTTGTATGTGCATGTGGTTGCACAAAAACTGTGCATGTACATGATTTGTATAGGCAAAATTATACTTGCAGAAAAGGAAGCCATTAGCCACATGTCTACACTGGAATAAAATACCTGCTGTGACTGGCTCGGGTCAGCTGACTTGGGCTCGTGGGGCTCAAGATGTTTGTGCTCGGGCTGGAACCCAGACTCTGGGATCTGACAGCACAGGGTCCAAGAGCTTGGGCTCCTGCCTGAGCCCTTCTACACAGCAATTTTACAGCACAGCCCAAGCCCTGTGAGCCCAAGTTAGCTCACTGGGGCCAGCCACATGTGTTTAATTGCTGTGTAGATGTACCCTAGAAGGCCCCTTTGAAAATATAGCTCTAAAATCTTTGATTTTTTTTTTACCTGACATTTTCTTTGAAACTAGTGATATGAACTTCCAACGGGTTCCCAAAGGCCGGGGTGGCATGGCAGGGATGAATCTGAAATCAAACAGTGAAGGTTTTAGGATCCTAATAATACTGAGGTTTCATAAAGTCTCCATAAGACTGACTCCTGGATAAAGAATAGCTTGTTAAACTGAAGCAAGTTGGTGAAGATGAAAAGGAAGTGTTTGGAAGAATAATGTTGCATGATCTTATAGTCTCCTCCATGGAGGGTTAGTGCAAGCAGGCAGAGTCCCTGGAGCGATGACATTGGCATGAGCTCAGTAACAACAGATATGTATTTATTACTGGAAGGGTGGACAGAGTCAGCTCCCCTCCTCCTGCCGCTGACTCCGAAAACATTTTCAATTCCCTTGGGCAGGAAGCACCTTCCTTTTAGGGCTTGTCTGTGGATGTATCGCACATGCAGACTCAGCCAGCATAATAACTCGGTTTCAATAATGATCCCTCCTTCCAGTGAAGGCATATGCGCTCTTATTTTATGATGGTGTGAAGTCTCAGAATTCTTCTGATGTCTTTGCTGTTTCTGCATTTCCAAAGAACCAGAAACATCTTTTTCCATCTCAGGCTGGACAGGAGGCTACATACCTGTTGGGTATGGACCCTGTCACTGTGATCTGCACATGCACTACTTGAGCCTGGAAGGAATACAATACACTATACCTGGTAATGAAAGTGGAGCCCATGAAGAAGCTTCAATTGATCTAATGCAGAGCAGCTTATCTACTGAGGGCTTGTCAATACTTAAAACACTACAACGGCACAGCTACACCACTATAGTCCTTCAGCGCAGATGCTACCTACACGGATGGGAGGGATTCTTACATCTGTCTCTGCTGAGAAGCAATAGCTACGTGACCATTGATGAAAGAATTCTTCCGTCAACCTAGCTCTGTCTACACTTGGACTTAGGTTGGCTTAACTGTGCCACTCAAGCATCTGGATTTTTCACACCCCAACCAATGAAGTTAAACCAACCTAATTTTCTAGTGTAGACCAGGCCTAAGTACCACAGGTTAATAGGAACGTTTCCCTCTGGAGCTTTGCTCGATGCATTATCTCCCAGTCCAATAATGAATACAATTCATGTCCTGTTTTCATTCATCTGAGCCCTAAATGATGTAGGCCCTGGCTCTCTAAAGGATAACTTCTCTCTATCTTCATGAACAAGAACAACAGGTACCATCAATGGGTTAAGTTTGCAGGGCCAAGTACAAGCCTTTCTCTGTGGCATATGCTTGGCTTCAGAATCCTGTTCAACAAGAAGTCAGATTGAGCCCAGGTCGTAGCCTCTTACAGCTAAGTACCTGTAGGCAAAAGTCTTCCCATAACAACAGTGTAAAAATGGCCGGCAAACTGGAAATGAGTAGACAGAAAAACTAGAAGATATGCATAGTACCGTTTATTTAAAAGGATGTCCTCCCTGAGGATTCCTGTTAACTCTTACTAATTTCCTACTTTTTTTCCTAGTACAAATCAACATACTATAGGTTTCATGCACCAAATGTTGGGTAATAACATGAGGAAACCATGTTTCTAAAACTAAGCTAGATATTTATTAAAAGAACTATTTAAAGAGATGCTGCAACTTCAGCTACCATTCAAGCTATGTACATACAGATTCACTTCCTGGTTCCTCCTCCAAACACTTCCCTCCTGCAACCTATGCACTTGCCTTCAGGTTTCATGCAGTTTGATACACTGTATATTGGTGGTCAAGTTGGGTGAAAAATTTATTTGAAGCATATGACAGAACTTCCTCTTGGATTTAGATAGAAAATTGTGTTTCATAACATGATTGATTTCTTGCCAGCGATTGTTTGGGTCATGTTCTACTTTCAATTATGGTGACATAACTCTGGAGAAACACTGTTGTAGTCAGTGGATTTACACCTGTTTTGTCTCATTCAGACATCTTTGTAACCTTTCTCATCGTCACCTCTCTGAGGACTCTCCCATGTGACCTCTGCTTTTTCCACCAACCCAACTCATAAATTATTATGTTTTTAAATAGCACTTAGGCTGTCGTAGCTGCCGCTAGCCTTGAAGATTTGTAGTGTACCCTGTAATTTTGAGATGAAAAAAATTGGTTAAGTGACAGAAGAAATATTGCACTTCAAGATAAAACTACTTTTGTATTTCATTTTCCGTTCAAATCATTCATATCCCTGTCACTAACCTCATTAGGTCAAAGGCTTGAGGCAGAGACTGGGCATAACATTTTTGGTCATAGTGATCCATTCTTCAGCATCCGAGTATCTGCAAATATCTGTAATTTCAAAATTGAAATGAATGTTGTATTTATTCTGCAGGCAAATATTATAAATACAATGTGTTACTGAAGTTTACATTCCTCTGGAATTCGTAATTAACTGGCAACTTTTGGCAATTCAAACACACATGACTTGACGCTTGTTATGCTTGACATATTAATGAATCTGCTAGTGCCAAGGCAATTTCTTAGGATGCCATCCTTCTGTCTGTGAAGCAAATCCTACATTTTCAGAACTTATAGGAAATTCTATAAGCCAAGTAGTTGAAATAATAAAGAAAAATTAATCAGGCACATATTAAATGTGAACCATGGAACGAAGCATCTGCAGCACTCAGTGGATGTCTGGATAACATACTTGCAGTGCTATTTTGCCAGCTTTCGTCTGGAGTGGTTCATCAGAACAGAACAGATGCTAGTGTGAAATAGGTCATTAAAGCAGCAGGGCATTAGAACAGAGACATTTCTTTTTTCTTGCAGCAACAGCTATTCCTTTTTTATTCCCACCAATTATGAAAATGTTAGCCAAATCTGAAATATGAATGCATGTGTTGTGACAAACTAATACTTTTAAAGGGCATCAAGGTAAAAGCTAACTCAGTGATGAAGCTTCACAAAGCAGTCCTTTTATAATATAGATAAAGGAACCTTCACAGTGCTCATGTAGGCTGTTTCTTGTTTTGTTTTCTGTTTTTTTGTTTTAGTATAGACGTTACTGAATGCCTTCTTGGTGGCAAATGCCCAGAAGCGGAGATGCTAATTCTCATGAGTTTCATCAGTCATTTCAAAGGAGAGGTCACACAGATAAGAAAAATGAACAGTACGCAGTATGTGAAGCAGTGACATTCAATGAGTCCTTGTCACTAGCAGCCATTAGCATGCAAGCCTGCTGTTATGTTTCAGTGCTTTATGTGCTTTTCTTGACCAGGCAGGGAGCCTTGGAGCACTGTAGCAGTTAATACCAAGCAAGTTATTGTTTCTTTCTTGAATGCCTTATATTTTTAGTACCATTGAGATGCTTCTTTGTCCCCTGTGCATCTAAAATTTTAAAGAGAATCAAAGAATGCATAATTTATATCTTTCCCAGAGGTAATGGAGTGACTCAGTGATATCTGTGGAGAGGATTTTAAATTTCATGTCTTATGCAAGAGGTGATTTTTATATGAAAATTGTAAGAGTTGGCCTCGGGGATACCCAGATAATTATCCTTACAACAGTGGGTATGGATTCCAGGGGGATTGTAGCTGAAAGCTATAGTGTATTAGATTTACCCTTGTGTATCATAGTTGCCATAATGGAAAACATAGCAACTGATGCATCTTGGGAAATAGAATTTGTATTTTGACTCTGAATAGCATACACTGGAAATATGAAAAGGCAGGTTTTCCATGATTGTGTTGAAGAATTCATAAAAGGCTTAGGCATTTGTTTACCACTGAAATTCTTTCTGTCAGTTAAAAGAAAAAAATTGTTTACTGATGTAGGGCAGGACCCATCACTAAATCCTTTATCGTGTAGCACATGTAGACTATTTCTGGTTTCATTGAACTAAAAGCCTGGGAGTGCCATGGCTAGAAATAAATGTCTGCTGCTTTGATATGCTATATATTTGAAAATGCACTTTAAGGTCTGTATTATAGACATTTCAAAGAGAATATCAATTGGTGCAGCATTCTTATCTTTTACAATCCAGTTGCAATAAATCCATTGCAGTTTTATCAAAACTGTTTTCAGTAGTGTTTTTAAAAATAATTTAACGTTATTTTGCATTCTCCTTTTTCTGAATTATAGTAAATAAACCCCTCTGAGCTTGGACTTTCCAATATTTAAATAATTGTAATGATCTTGCTGCTTCCATAGTTTAAGATATTTAATAACCTCTACACCAATGCTAGAGTCAGCCTTTTAGCATTTAGTTCCTGAAGAAACAAGGATTTTTTTTTTCTCTTCTGGAGGTCATTGTTTTTAACTTTTGTTTCTTGATCTTATAGGATTGGCCATGAGAATTTTTAATCTTCCTTCAGAAGTACGCTAATGGGTCTGCTGATAAGCAATCTGCTTTTGTAAAGGTCTGTAATTTATATTGAATCCCTGATTATTTCAGCATATACATTACTGCATTGATTAGTATACTATCTGTTTATTACTTTTAGAGCATTGATATATATGAAGTAAGTAAAAAGTTATAATTTTATTCTGGGGGGGGGGCTAGGTTTTGAGGGAGAGATGGAATTATTTTTATTTCTTGCAAAATTGTTAGGTCCTAATTCCATTCTGTTACACTGGTGTAAATCTGGAGTAACTCCATTCATTTCCCATTTCAATGGAGTTACTCCAGATTTACACTACTGTACTTGAAAAAAGAATTTGGTGTCTAAGTAACTTGACCAGACAATTGTGTCTTGTAGTATGTGGCAAAACCACATTATCTTAAAAGTCATTGTAGTTTATTGCTTGCTCCTGCCATTCCTGTGGTTAACTTGTGAGTAGTTTTGCAACTAACACTGCAGATGGTGCCAGGAATAGAAGAACGGGAGTTGGCAGAGAGTCAGTTGAACTGTTTAAGCTTTTGGGCCATAAGATGAGCTCTCGCTCATGGAATGTTTCACTATATTTTTAAAAAAAGGTTTTGGATATTTTAAGAAACTGTAAAAAAACCAGCTTGTTGCATGTGAATTATGAGAATAATTATGGTTTGAGTCCTGAGATTATAGTGTGGTAAGGGATGGTGAAGGAATCATATTCTTGTCAGATATAATTGAAGTCTAATCAATATGGTAACCTAAGACCAAAATGATTTAAAGAATAGAAAACACTGTACTACATCTCAGTATATTTTTAAACATAAGTAGGCATTCTTACAGTGCTACGTTTTCTATAGATATTTGGTGGGAGAAGTTAATAGAAATCAACCTACCTATCAAGCTGCTTACATGACTGCGATCACTACAGTACCTGAGCACCATAGACTTCAATGGAAGTTGTATTGAACCTAATAACCATTTCTAAAGTGAATATTTACATCCAAAATATGCCCTATTTATTGTGTGTGTTTATTTTGGGATGGATGTTTAAAGGTATTTAGGTGCCTAAATACCTTTAAACAGGAGTGCCACCAGCTTTTCCGCCGCCCCGAAATGCCGCCCCCCCCACAGAGGCAGCGGAAGGTCCCGCCGTGGAAATACTGCTGCGGTCGCTGCCCCCCAAATCGCAGTGCCCTAGGCGACCGCCTAGGTCGCCTAATGGGTTGCGCTGGCCCTGCCTTTAAACATCTGACTGTGCTTGAGACAGCACTCTTTGTATAGTCCATTTCACTGTTTCCTATGTATATAATTATGTAGTTACAGAGGCAAATTTGCTTGTAAACACAAATGTTAGCAGGGGGACTTGAGCAGGTGTAATACCTGAATCTACTTTTAATTATTTTTTTTAAATTGACTACATTTCAAGTTGAGTGTCGTTTTAAGAGGGCTTCAGATCTGAACCACCTCTAAGGCAGTTTGGATCCAGATCTGAACTTCACACAGCTTTTACATCTATAATGGAATGAATAAAAATCCCAGATCTGGCCCCTTTGAAACTGAATAGATATAAAATTCATTGTGTCATTGTGTAATGGAAAGCTAAATATTTTGAATTTGGACTACTCAGAGTTAGAGAAAATTGCATAACTATCAATGATTCATGTCACTCTCAGGCTTTACAAATTCTTTGCTTCTTTCTTGCAAGCTGTGATCATGATATTCCTTGGGGCAAAACTTGTGTTTTTGTTTTTGAGGAGAGGAAAAAAAAGTGCAGACACTGAAAAGGATTCAATATAAAGGGAGAAAACTTGCTGTTAGTGTTGGCATTTGGAATGTAAATCCTTTACTATTAACTGTGATTTTTATAAAATCTGGCATTCTAGACTTGCCTAGGAGTGACTTTGGGTCATGGTTCACTAAAGTCTTCTAAGAATTATGGCTGAATCTGTTTAACAAAGTGGTTGGGATTATATATTCTTTTACCTGTGTGTCTGAAACATTTGACACAAATTGAGGCAATGACTATTGTGCAGATGGGGCAAGATTAGTCCTTTGTTTAAAGACAAATTTTAAGGAGGGAAGAGCTCTTAGGTTCATTGTTCACAAGTCTGATTCTTGAAAAATAATGGTTTATGATTTATATATAAATTAGGACTATTTAGATTAGAGAGTGGACAAATAAGAAATGAGATGATATACATATATTAAAATCATAAGTGGCATAGAGAAAGTGGTTTGGGTACTCCTATCTACACCTTTCTTATAATTCAAGAACAAGGGACAACGAATGACATTAAAAGGCAAGATGTTTAAACTAAAAAAGAAATACATTTGTACACAATTATTGAGGCAAAGTGTTTAGTAGGATCTTGAAAAGGGTTAGACATTTATGTGAATGAGTATCAGCCACAGTTACATTATCTACACTAAACATTTATAAGGTATATCAACCTACATATTTTAGGACATAAGTCAATCACAAACTGCCTAGATTCAGGAAGAAGCTTCTGTAATATCCATGTTGTTGTATAATTCTCCATTACGGGGGTTATACACCACCTTCTGGTACTGCCTGTGGTGGGAGTGAGGATGGTCCACTGAATGTACCATTGATCTGATCCAGCATGACAGTTTCTGTCTTTTTATGTTTTGTTGCACACTTTTTGTATCTTTTTTTCCTACAACTATTTTCCCTCTTTCTGCACAGGTTTTTTTTTTTTGCATTTCATATTTTTATTTCTTGCTTGTGATGCCTCTCACATTCTTCCTCTAAGCCTCTTTTCACTTTCTCTTCTAGATTTTTTTTTCCCAGTTTGCTACTTATTTGCTGTTGGAATTTCCTAATTCCTCTATTGGTGTTTATCTACAGAGGACACATCTACCCAACAGTCCTTCTGTGGACATTCTAAACTCTACCCATGATATTCCTATGGCAAAACATGTTTCAATTTTAGGGGAGAAAAAATATAAACATTGAAAACAATACAGACTAAAGAAAGGAAACTCATTACTGTGCTGGAATAGGAAAATCTTTTTAATGCACTTTCCCCCCCCATCTCTGAGTTGCGTTTCCCTCCCCCTCACTTCCTCTTGTTCTATAGCTTTCTGCCTTTATCTCATTGCTTTCTCTTGGTTTTTCATTCTGAATATGCTGAGATTGACTATAATCCTGCTTCAAAATAGAACATTGAGTCTAGTGATTACCACTTGGTTGTTGGTGAACTCAGAACGGATTTAGGAGCAGCAGGCCTTCTCTAATATAATGAGATGCAAGCACAAAAATACCAATTTCACAAAGGTCGGGGAGGGCAATTTTCCTACAATGAGTGTAAGCATGGCAACCCACTACCTTCGATCTTCCTTCCAGAGCCATGCATATATCTAGTATGCCCTTCTGCTCTCATACATTTGGAAATATAGACCATTAAAAAACAGGGTTTGTGTACATCACAGCTTTAAACGGAGATCTTCAGGGTCACCAACCTCTCTTCCTTCACTGGTAGCTGCAGGGATTTTCGGGACGGCTGCTCACAGCTCAGTTCTCCCGCTAGAGGCTGCAGGAATGATGGAATGGCTACTCATGCAGGATGTTAGTAACTTTGCAAATATGAAGCAGGGGAAAGTAATGCATTAAACAGAGAGGAGTGGAGGAAAACAGGAAGAATTTGCAAATTCTTCCATCAACCTACCCACGTCTATATCAGAGGTTATGCCGACCTAACTGCAGTGCTCAGGGTATGACATTGTTCATAGCCATGAGTGACATAGCTAGGCCAATCTAATTTTTAACTATAGATCAGGCCTATGATGCGAATTATTCTAGAATCGGATTCCTCATTGGTCACACCTGGTGATCAGTCCCCTCCCATTTCAAAGATGGCTGTTGGTTCAAACACCTTAGCCAATCTCAACTATCAGGGTATCACAGAAGAAAGGCGGTCTCTAAAGCAGGTTGGACAAAAGCCATCAGTGCTCACACGCCACATTGATGAGCCTATATAAGAACCTAGATAGAGAACTACCCCTGCCAGGATATAGAAGCCAGTGCAGTTTTAGTAGCCCAGGTATAATGTGTTCTCTGTGAGCAGTACTGCTAAGTAAGCAGTCAGATGCATTCCACACCAGCTAAAGTTTCACAATGATTTTATTTATTTTCATTTTGTTAATAAAAAGGATGCCTCAACAAGGCATCTGGTGCCCTGCCAATTATAGCTTAAACCCAACAGCATTAAAACAATCAGACAGGAACCTGGTTAGGCAGCCACCTACCAAAAAAGCTCCTTCCCCCACCCCCTTCATTGTTCCAGGTTCATAGCCTTAATCTTTTCCAAACCCCCTATCACATAGATGACTTTTGCAATGTGCCCAGGCAGTCACTGAATTCAGCTTAGTTAGGATGAAGGTGGAGAGCAAGTTCCATATCTGCTGATGCAGATGCTGAGCCCTTGCGAAGAACCCTCTGCCAGCAGTCATCTTTGATAATGAGGAGGGTCCAGCGCAAACATCTGTGCTGACTGCAGCTGTGGTAGTATGGCACAGGGAGAAGGATGCTCTCACATGGGGAGGTTCATAGCCATTTAGGGCATTATAGATCATTACCAAAACCTTAAACTCCCTCCCAGAGTTGAATAGGCTCACTAAGCAAGCAGTTGCATTCTACACTAGCCTCAATGTCCAAATGGTTTTAAGGTGTAACCCTATGTAGAGCGCATTGCAAAAGTCTCTATATAAAGAGTAGCAAGGTCTACATTCAAGTCAAAATGTCAGCCTCCTGGCCAGATGCTCATGGTGAAAAGCTGCTTTAATATGATTGTCAGTAGTAGCCAGGGATCTAGAATCAGATCCAAGTTTAAAACCCTGGTGACTAATGGTTGAAATACTGTGACGGATTGGATCACAGAAATCCCCTTGGGACCACCAGCTGGTGTGCTGAGACTACCCTGAGCACGTTTTCCCTGGCAGCTTGGGACTTCAGTGCCTTGCCTGGTTTGAGCCAGACACAGTAGCCTGCTACAAACACAGACTCAGGTCTGAACTCCGTCCCC